TTCCCTCGTACTTTGAAGAAATAGAGTCTTCATCATGTTCACTGCTTTCACTACGTCATTGTAAGCGGATACGAAACAACCATGGTGAAGGTGTTCTATGTCTCGTCCAGCAACGACAAAGCAATCCGGACATGTCCCTTCTTAAAATGCCTTGCGTTGGCACCCTGTCCAGAATCACGCTGATCAACTCATCGCTAAACAGCTCCTTCCTTTTGTGTAGAGTTGGGCCTTTCAACAGTGCGTCAACCGGTTTATTAATTTTTTTTAAAAAAATTGGGACATATGAGGACTATTTGATGCCATGCAAAGAAAGAATCTCGTCTCGTGGACTGCCATGGTAATTCCAGCACGGGCATCTGGATGAGGCAAACCTTCTATGCCCGCATGGTTCATCTGGGGATTTAAATGGAAGTAGGCAGCTGTTTGAGAAAATGGAAGAAAAGAATTTGGTGTCGCAAATGCGATTTCTCTGGCGAAACTTGGGTGCCCCTCATACTTCGTGGAAGTTTTAATAAGCTTGTCATCCTTCCTAGCAAGATCACTGCATAGAAAGTTCTCGAAGAGCTCCATCCCGCGTTTGCTTTACATCGCTATACATCTCCTTTTGATCTGTAAAGTTTGGAGAGCCCGTAACATAGCCTTTCATCCAACTCCACGCTCTCATTCTTTAGCAGAACATCCGAGAGTTTTTAGTAAAATCAACGGTGAAAAAAAAAAGAAGCAGAGAATAACGCTTGATGAGCTTATATTCCCAAACATCAGTTTTAACAGCAGCTGCCAACTCCGGGCATCTGGGAGATGCTAAGAGGATATTTGATGGCATTGGGGAGCCAGACGTGGTGTGCTGGAATGCGATGCTTTCGGCATATGCCCGTGCCGGATGTATCTCAGATGCGAGAGGAATCTTTGATGCCATGCAGGCAAAGAATCTAGTCTCGTGGACTTCCATGGTGTGCGCATATTCTAAGCACGGGCATCTAGACGAGGCAAAGATTCTCCTTGGTGCCATGCCCGAGTGGAATGCGGTATCGTGGACAGCGATAATCGCTGCTTGTGGTTTAGCTGGAAACTTAAACGAGAGTAAGCAGATGTTTGAGATGATGGAAGAGAAGACTTTGGTGTCGTGGAATGTGATTCTCTCCGCAAATGCCCAAAACGGGCAATTTGCGAGTTCTCTGACGATCTTTCATGCGATGCCGCAGTGGGATCTGGTGTCGTGGATCACGCTCCTGGGTGGAATTTCCAGCGATATTGATGCTCTGCTCGAGATTTTCCACGCAATGCCCGAGCACGACATCGTGTGCTGGAATGCGCTGCTATCGGCTCACGGGACTAGAGGCAGGATTGGCGATGCCCAGCTCGTGTTTGAGCGGATGCCGGAGAGGAATTTGATATCCTGGACTGCGATGCTCAATGCATGGATCTTGTGCGGCGACCTGGAACTCGCGAGAGAGCTCTTTGATCGCATGCCGGAGAGGAACCTTGTTTCTTGGACCGCGATCATCGATGCGTATTCGCAGAGAGGAGATCCGTGCCAGGCCAAGAGCCTCTTCGCCCAGATGCCGGAGCAGAGCCTGGCCTCCTGGAACGCGATCCTCTCCGGCATCGCCCGGTTTGGAGATCTGGAAGAGGCTGGAGAGATCTTCGAGAGGATGCCGCAGTGGAATTCTTCCTCGTGGAACGCAATGCTGGCCGCCTACACCCTGTCCGGAAAGAATCTGGAAGAAGCCTGGGCGCTGTTCGCCAAGATCCCTCGCAAGAACCAGCTCTCTTGGAACCTGATACTCACCGCCGAGAGCCAGCCGCTGGAGTCATCGCTGGAGATCTTCGCGTCGATGCCGGAGCGCGACGTCGTGTCCTGGACCGCGATTCTCACCGCATTTGCCCGCGCCGCCCACAACTCCCACGCGGAGAAGCTCTTCGCGCAAATCCCCAGCCCCAATCCCATCTCCTGGGCCGCCCTCCTGGCCGCGCTCTCCACCAGCGATCCATTCCCCGCCTTCCACGAGATGGCCATGCTCCACGCACCCACGCCCGCGTGCTTCGCGTCGGTGCTGGCGGCGTGCGTCCACCGTGGCGCGCTGGAGCTTGCCACGTCATATTTCGCGGCCATGGTCCGCGACCACGGCGTGACGCCCGGCCGGCAGCACTACGGCTGTATGGTGGACTTGATGGGCCGCGCGGGACGCGTGGATGACGCGCGGCACATTGTCGCCGCCATGCCATGCCACGTGGACGCGCTGGATTGGCGGTGCCTGCTTGGGGCTTGTAGATGGAGTGGCACGGAGGGTGATCGGTGTGGTACGGACGTGGCCGGGCTTGCGATGGGGTTGGATCCAGGTGACGCCGCTGCCTACGACCTGGTAGCAAGTGTGTATGAGTATAATAGCGTATAGATCTTGTATATGGAACGTGTTACCAGACCAGATTAACTGCAAAGTGATTGATTGATATCATAGTTTTTGCTCAACACGACCAGAGTTTTATTTATTCACCAAAGTGATTGATTGATATCATCCTCAGGCAGAACGGAAATGGTGAAAGTTCCTCCGGCTCCAGAAGTCTTGGTGCTGGATCGAACTGGCGCAAGTATTCCCATTCCTGTTCTGGGGAGGACAAGTTCCAGCATCCGAGATCCAGTGAGTGCCGATGAAGAAGTGGTGATGTCATAGAAGTCCTTGTTGCTATTGTTGTTGATGGAAACCTCGGCCAGTCCAGTGCCGACCTTTCCCACCCAGACGACTTTCTGAATGCAACCAACGCTTGCGGGACACATGTAGCTGCTATCATAACTAGAAGTTTCTCGAATCATTGATGAACTGGAAAACATTGATACGTCTTCATTCATGCAGTGCTTAAGAGATTTTCTTTCAGGAAAGGATACCGACCGATGGATATTGTGGAAACCACAGAAGTAGTGCTTCAGAATGCAAGTCACTCAAAGACATGTTTCTTCGCCTGACCGTAACTCATGCGTTCCTGTTTCGTTTGTCTTCGTGTGGGGCGGTTTTGCTCCTGGTGGATTCAACTTAGTTGCCAAACTGTACGTATATTTAGAACCATTGCTACCAATTCGTGCTCACTGTGTGTGTCGTGTTTCAGGAGAAGGGAAGGTACAGACGTGGAGGACTTGTTCATCTCTCATATCGCTGACATGGACGCAATGGCACGCGAGCTTCACAATGCAGCCAAAATCCTTGAGGTAAAATTCCTTGATTTGTGGCATTTCTCACGGGCACGAATTTTCTTTCAGGAGGGTACTCTTCCAAGTATCGTGAAAGAGCGATATGCAAGCTTTGACTCTGCTTTCGTTGAGGTACACTAAAGCTTTCTACGATGTTTCATTTACAAATTGCTGTCGGTGTGCTAGTCGGGGGAGCTTAGATTTGAAGGCTGGAGCAAGAGGCCCTGAGAGCCACTACCCGCGTCTGGGAAGCAAGAGCTAGTTGAGATGGTGGTCTAATGTAAGTAAGGCGATATCTATGTGAAGGCTTGTTTAAACATTTTTACTGTCATGTATAAAGAATGTTATCGCAATTTTAAATCTTCATTTCAATACTTACCTGGCAGATCCCTCTCAAGGATGAAAGTACCTTCTCTCTTGTAATCGTTACCGTTTCGCAGCAGTTTTCTCACCATCAATTTGCACAGCTTCTCGTCTACCAGTTTCCAGAACGCCTGGTAAGTATCTGCAGCGGGATGCCTCCTTAGCAAAGTACTCTCGGTAGCTTATTGTGCTCGCATCCAAGAACAAGTCATATGCCTCAGTAGCTAGTGTTTCACCGTCCAGCATGAGGCCCCCTTTCAAGCTGGAAGTGACAAGGTTTTTCCCTTCCGGGCAGTTCACTGTACATCTCAAGCACATTTTTGGCGTTGGATGCAACATCACCTCCCTTTCCAAAGCTTCTTTTATAATGGACAACACTAAAGTGTGATCTTTGACCACGTCGAGATAAACCCTTGACATTGGCTCGTTAACCATCTCAAGCAACAAATTGTCATTGTATGGATGTATTTAAGGAATGCTTGTCGTTGCTGAATTGGTAAACTCATTTAGATGTCTATGTGGGATCACTATGTGATTCTATAATTGATAATCAAGGAAAAACTCTGGATCGGCGCACCGAAGGGGGATTGGATTGATCGCCTTGGCTGCAATGTAGGCAGGTGATCGCTTGGATGGAGTCATGCGACGAGAACACCTTTCCCATCTGCACCATCTTTGGGTGCTCTTTTGGAAACACCTTACAATTAGTGCCTCGCGTCTGGGAAGCAAGAGCAGCTGAAATGGTGTTCTATAACGCCATACAACACTGAATATCCATGTAAAGGCTTTGGTCATTTGATGAAGTCAAGCATTGATATGTGAACTCCATGCTAGGGACAGGGGGTGATGGGAAATTTGACTCTTTTAACTTCCACTTCCATAAGAGATGTTCAAATCTCACTAATAGTGTTTCAGTGAGAGGAGATTGTCGCTCGTTTCTTTATTTGTTGATCCACCATGTTCAACCCCATGGCTGGGCCGCATCCAGCGCCAGCTCCATGGCCAGGCCGCCAGCGCGAGCGCCATGCCCGCGATCACCCATGTAAGTCAAAATTAATGGATTGATTGTGATGAAAGGTTTTTTTTAGCAAAAAGTAGCTTTCTGATCCAGGGAAGTGATTACTTTTGCACAGTGAGAGCCATGGCCTAGCCAGGGCCACAAAGCACAGGGAATGGAGTCGTAGAGATTCTCATTCTCATAGGAATTAACATCGTCATCACTGCACTCTTCCTCATCACCGCTCTCATCATCCTCATCACTACTCTCATCATCCACTACGGCTGCATGGGACGTTTGTGGATGAGGCGCGGTACATGGTCCCCGCCATGGGGCTTGTAGATGGAACGATACGGAGGGCAGTAGGTGTGGTACGGAGGTGGCTGGGCTTGCGATTGGGATGGATCCAGGTGATGCCGCTGCGTACCACCAAGCTAACGTATCGATCTGAATAAACGCGTGACAACATTTTTGCTATAGAATTTATTTCATTTATAAAGTGATTGAATAACACCATCGCTCACGGGCAGAACGTAATGGTGAAAGTTCCTCCGGTTCCAGTGGCAAAAGTCTTGGTGTCACCAGACCAGCTATAAGCATCCGGGCATGAGGCACGGACGTTCTGTGCATACTGGGAGTTTGGATCGTCGCGGTTGGGACTGGTACAGACATTCCCATTCGTGTTCTCGGGAGGACAAGTCGAAGCCTCCGCTCGGCAAGTCAGACCCCTGCCAGATCCAGTGATGCTCATCCCAGTGCCGATGAAGAAGCCATCCACGGCGCTGATGTCGTAGAAGTCATTGTTGCTGTTGCTGTTGATAGTGAACTCGGCCAGGAGGCCAGGAGTTCCAGTGCCGATGTTTCCCCCCCAGAGATCCGGAGGACTCAGTGAGCGAGATTCTCCGGGGGCGAGAGTGAATCCGGAGGTTCCGATCGAGGGGCCGGGGTTCTCGCGGACGACAATGTTCTGCGAGCCTCCGCAGCTATTGACAACGTTGAAGGAAGTGGCTGCTGCGAGTGGGATTGCTGCAAAACAATGGCTTAGAGCAACAAGAGCAACTAGGATGGCAGTAGAGCTTGCCATTGGAACTGTGTATGCTGTAATATATTTCTGTGAGTTTCTTTGGGGATTTATATAGTCTAGAGATATTACTGAAGGTGAAAGAGTCTGTAGTCCACACGCAAAGGAATACCACCCGTGAATAGTAGCCAAGCAAAAAAAATCATGACTGACTAGACTTTGAAAATCATGTTCATGACTTGAGTTTTGCATCATATAATTACGGACAAATGAGAATATCCGTGCTTTGAATATTGAGTCAAGAATCTGCTGCCAAACTTTGTGAACTAGTGCCACCTCAATAAGTCCTAGTCTCACATTCGGGATTTGTTTCTATGGCCAACTAATAACTAACCCTTTTAAGTATTAGTCAGCACACTTTATTAGCCATATAATTTTAATTATTTCTTTAACACCAAAATAGAAGCCCATCAGTTAGAATAATAATCTATAAAATAAAAATTTATAATAACATCAATTACATTGAAAAATAATTGAAAATTAACATTATTTCATAATCCTTCTTACATCATAACATTATAACAAAAAAAGAGAGTATTATAGTTGTATCCAAGTGGTTCATGTTTTAAGCAAAAATTTGATTGTGTTTTGAATTTTCACAAATTTTGCAAAACAATGAATGTACATATTCCTGCAGAGAGAAAAAAGAAAGAAAAACGATCAATCTTACCGCAAGTTCTTGCGTTTGCATTGCCAGTTTTTATGTATATAGAGGCTCGGTCGATCGATCCTGTATGAACAAACTCACATTGACAGCATCTCCATCATCTGGACAATGGCAGCCATGGACGGCCTCCTGCTCGGATCCTGCGCAGTGCACAGCAGCCCGATCCTGAAAACCTGCATGATCTCGGCCTCTGGAAACGAGCTCATCTCATGGTCCAGGCACTGCAAGCCCCGCCCCTGCTCGAACGCCGCCTTGGCATACTCGCACAGCACCACCGCGTCCGTCTCCAAGTTTTGCACGGGCCTCCTCCCGGTGACCAACTCCAGCAGCACCACCCCAAAGCTGTAGACGTCGCATTTGTCCGTCAGCCTCAGGTTCTGGACTGCCATCTCCGGCGCAACGTATCCCACCGCCAGCTCCAGCTTCCGGTCGGTCATGTACGTGTCCAGCTTCGGCAAAAGCCTCCGCAGGCCATAGTCCGAGATGTGAGGCTCAAACTCGTCGTCCAGAAGGATGTTGGTCGACTTCAAGTTGAAGAGGAGGACCTGTGGCCTGCAGTCGTGGTGAAGGTAAGCCAGCCCCCTCGCGGCGCCCAAGGCGATCTTGAACCGTCTCCACCAAGGCAATGGTAGCTGGCCTTCCATGCGCTGGTGTAAGTGATGGAAGAGACTGTCGTTGGGGAGGTACTCGGTTAGCAGCAGCTTTGTTGGAGGAGACCAGTAGTATCCTTCCAGCGTCACCACGTTCCTGTGCTTTACGTTCTTGAGGATCGCTATTTCCCGCTCGAAGGCCTCCTGGCTGGTTATCTGGCCGAGACTAGAGAGCTTCTTCACAGCGAGTGCCACTCCGCCATCCACCACGGCCTTGTAAACAGTCCCCAGTGGTCCATACCCGATCACACAGTCCTTGTCTACAAGAGCTTTGGTTCCTTCCTGCCAGTTCTCGTACTTGGACGGGATGTTTGGGTTGAAGAGGACGAGCTTGCCGATCACACCTGTGCTCGAGTCTGGAGAAGGCGGAGTGCTTTCGTAGACGAGCACTTCAGCGGGAGTCTTCTTTGGCCTCGTCAAAACCTTGATGTTCAAGATGACGACGATAAAAACACCCAAGGCGACGAGGATTGCGGCGACGATGGCTGCTATGGTGTAAGGTGTCAAGACGTGTGTTTTCCCACCACCTTCGAGCGTCGGCGATAATGCTGGTCCTGGCCAAACCATAGGAGTGCACCTCAGTGACAGCGGCGGACCACACAGAAACGTATTGCCAATGTAAGAGCTCCTGTCAAAACGCTGTAACACGCCCCGCCTGGGTATGAATCCAGTTAAGTTGTTGTAGGAGACGTTGAAGAGCACCAGATGCGACAAGTCACCCAGTTGGATAGGAATACTTCCGGTAATGTTGTTGAAAGAGAGATCCAGCCGCTCTAAGTGAGTTAGCCTTCCAACCTCGGCGGGAATAGAGCCCTGTAGCATGTTATGGCCAAGAAGGAGTGTCTTCAAGTATGTCAAGTTGTTGAGACTTCGCGGAATGGTACCACTAAAATCGTTGCTGGAAAGTTTGCTGGAACAAAGAACCATGGTTTAGAAAAAAACACATGAAGGAAGACGTTGAGCTACGTACAGTTCAATTAAGAACCTCGCCTGCGTTAGAGCTTGTGGAATACTGCCGTGCATGGCATTGCTGCTAAGATCCAGGCTGACCAGGAATGCGAGCTTCCCAATGGCATCGGGAATCGGAGACGAAAACCTGTTGTGTGATAAGTTGATGAGCGATAATTCCTGACACTCTCCGAAGTTGGAAGGAATAGGACCTTCGAAGCTATTGTAAGACAAGTCCAGGACCTGCGTTCGAGAAAAGAAATTAAAAAGAGTAGAAGACGACATTGGCACCAGCAAATGGGACCTTCATTACCTCGAGTGATCGACACCCATCATCACCTTGCCTGTCCGGGAGCCCACCGCTGAAAGCATTCTTCGAGCCATTGAGGATATCGAGAGAAGGAAGATAAAGAACCTCTGATGGAAAATCCCCCGAGAGCGAGTTCTCTTGGATAAGCAACAAAAGCAGCTCGTCCAAGAAAGCGATCTCCGCCGGCACGCTCCCAGTGAGCCGGTTGGAACTAAAATCCACAAACTTCAAGGATCCGCAAGAGCCCAGAGCCACTGGCAGGCTCCCAGCAAGCGCATTGCCTGACAGGCTCACGAATCTCAGCTTGGAGCAATTCCCGAACAGCTGCGGCGGGATCGCGCCAGTGAGGAGATTGGAGGAGAGATCGAGCATCCGGAGCCCCGGAATCTTGCCGATGGAGGCCGGGATTGTGCCGGCGAGCTCGTTGCTGCTGAGATTTAGCTTCCAGAGGCTCGAAATATGCGAGAGCTGCGAGGGAATGCTGCCTTTGAGGAGATTGTTGGAGAGGGAGAGCGTCCGCAGGAAAGGGAGGCCGCTGAGCGCCGGCGAGATGGTACCTGCGAGGCCGGCGCCATGGATCAGCAGCTTCTTGACGCGATTGTCATCGTCGCAGAAGACCCCAGTCCAGCCGCATGGATCCTCATCCGCCGCATTCCAGCTCGTGAAAATTCCAGTGGGATCCTGCGTAATCTGCATTCGAAAGGCCATGAGAGCGATCCCTTCCTCGTTGAGAGCTCGCGCCTGGAAGGCCGCGACGAGCACGACCAGGAACTCGATCGCAAGAATCCGACATTGCTGCCCGATCGACATTCTCACGAGACCCGGCCCACCGATTCATCTATCGCCGGGCGCCTCGAGCCGGCAATCCTAGAAACCCTACCCAAAACCCTACGCGCGGCCCCCAGCTCTCTCCTCCCGTGTGGTGCGTCCCACGCCATGGCTACAAAGCTCCAGAACACCAAGTCCGTAATGGCCATGGCCCAAAGTACGAAACACCACATATTTTACACGGTGGGAATATAATGACGTGGCAGCATGCTGTATGATGTGGCAGAGTGGTGCGTTACGTGGCACGGGGGACATTACTTTTTTCCCGTGTGAAAACTTGCGCGCCGGGGCTATGACATGGCCAGCTAGGCAGGGAGGAGGACCGTTGGCAGTTGCTGTTGGAATTTACGTGGCAGGTATGGGTGTCCATTTATTCGATCGTCCATCAATCAATGACTCTCGGCACATATGTTACATCCTATCACCTTTGCTTGATTAAATCTCAGCCTTGACAGCAAAAGATACCTCGTCCCAAAGGTTGTAGAAAGTAAACGATTGCATATATATGAACCACTTTACACTATCATAAAAATCGTACTTTGAATGTACAAACAAACCACAGTGGTGGAACTTGTGGTCGCGAATTCCATCGCGATTTTTTGCTTCTCCATCTTCGTCATCTTCTTTCACTGCTGCTGGAGGCGGCTGGCGATGGCGGACCTGTTACCACGATCCACAACGCAGGAGCAATGGACGGAGGTGAGATTGGTGCATCCACTTACGTTGAGCGAGTGCCTCTCGGGGCAAGTGTGGAGCGCCGGGAAGGAGTCGCACACCGCCTGGACGGCCTGGCCGGACAAGGCTGTGCAGCCGCTCAGGTTGAGCGAAACCAGACCATAGCCATCCTGGTCGCTGAGAATGCACTGCACGTAGCTCTTGGTGGACGTCGTGGTGCTGCTGTCGTTGCTGCTCTGGAAGCTGCTGTTGCTGGAGCTTCCGCTTGTGCTGCAGCTCCCGGTGCTGCTCCTCGTCACGGTGCTTCGAGCGGTAGCGCTCTCCTGGTTTCCACTCCCGGATGGCGAGAGTTTCTTTTTGCCGCTGCTGCCTTGGGCCCGGTACTTTCGGCTGTTCACCAGCGAGTACATGGACAGATCGGTGATGTTCCTGCAGCAGTGCAGGCCGAGATATCTCAAGCGGTGGCACTTCTCGGCCAGTGCAATCACGCTCACGTCTGGAAAAGCAAAAGCAGAAAAAGATAAGAACCGAAACAGAGAAACGACACGCGGGGTTTTTAAGCCGTGTCAGGCAGTCACCTGAGATAAGATGGCAACCACAGAGATCGACTCCTCGCAAGTCGGGACACCAAATAGCCATTGCCGATATTCCTTCGTCAGTGATTCTGTCGCACCAGCCGGCATTTAAGATCTGGAGCCCGACGCAGTTCTGCGCGAGAGCCTGCAGGAAGAACAGGAAGAAGTTAAGAAAAGGAAGCAAAAACAAGCTTTTGGTCGACTTACCTTCAAAGCGTTGTCCGACCCCGCATTGTCGCATCCGCACAGGTTCAGGTGCTTGAGCTGTCGGCAGCTCTCGGCTAACTGGACGAGCCCGGCCTCAGTGATCCCAATGCAGCCACTCAGGTCGAGCTTCTGGAGCAGCTTGCACCCGTTTGCCAAAGCCACCAGGGACAAGTCCGTGAGCCTGGTGCCGCTGGACCTCCCGTTTGACAAGTCCAAGCTCGACAGATCGTGGCAGTGCCGCGCGATCGCTTGCACGGCCTGGTCGTTAAGTAGTGTGCATCTTCGCAAGTTGCAGCTCTGCAAGCGGTAGAACTTGTAGGCCACGGATTGTACAAGCATGCTCACACTCTTCCCACACCTGTGGATAAAGAACACGAAAAAAAAACGAAATGAGAACCCCAAGGATTTCCATACGTTAACACTACGTAAGAGTTGAGAAAAAAACGCAAAAAAGAGAAAGCGAGCTTACCAAGAGAATGAAAGCTCCAGGATGCCAAGAGACAAGGCATCTCGCCAGCCAGTGCACACGCCAGAGGCCACCAAAACCGTGCGGTGGTCGACCAGCGCTAGTATCCGCACCAGGAGCTCCATGGGGATGTCTTGCCACTTGGAGTCGCCGACGAGCTCGTGAGCCTCGAAGACGGCGCTGTGCTTTAGGACCAGCTTCTTCCACTTGTCCCTCATAAACTGCGGTGGCGATTCCATCTCCTCGTCCTCGGTGTCGCGGAAGAACTGCGACAGGCCTCCAGAGGCGGGGTAGAGTCGGGACTTTTGCTTCTCGTTCATCTCGGCGGTGGTGGTGTGATGAGCGTCCATATCCATATCACCTGCAAAGAGGAAACAAGAGAAATTAATCGTGAGGATCCATCACAAGAAGAAGAGACCCTTTACAAATAGAAAGAAAAAATAAAAAAACGAGCAAAGAGACCACGAGCTAAGTTTCGTCAAGACAGCTGCGTAGCTGCCGCTGACAACATATTCTGTGTTGGCATTTTGAAAAATAAATCCAGTCATACGTAACTTACAAAGATGCCAGAAAATAAAATTAAAGAGTAAAAAGAAAAAAAAGGAAAAAGACCAAGGCGACAGGAAAAAGCGGAAGCGAGGAAATCATCACAGAGAAAGCAAACAACCAAAAGCCCTCAATCGATAAAAACCTAATGGATGAAACACACATACCTCGCGAATTCGATGATCGCAAAACCCGCGCGTCTCATTCCATACCCTTGACCGATCGATCAATCGATCGCGCAAAGAATGCCGTCGAAACAGTGGTACCTGGGCGAGCGCTTCCGAATCGATCCAAGACCCTTCTTTCCCTTTTCCTTTTTTTCCTTTCCTGCGCGAAGCAGTGGCCGAGAGGATCTAAAAACAAAAACAAACAAAATGGTCTCCCAGCAAAAAATTGCCAGCCGCAGATCCAAAGCATCAGAATCTAGTCACGCCAGCACGTGGCCCTCGCACAGCCGTTGGATCCAGCATCGTTGTCGTCTGACGCATTACTTTGTTTCACGCTATCGCGTCGATCGAGGCGAGCATTGTTTCCCTTCGGCCCTGGAAAAGCTCTTGGTCCAGCTCCACAAGGAAAAGAAAAATGGAAAAACGAAAGAATTCTTGCTCCTTACCACGAAGAACTGACGAGATTTACACAAGAGCTTGGGTATCGATCTCTATCCAAGCTCTGTATCAGCTTCTGCAAACCAAAAGCCTGGCCACTGTTACTACAAACGAGAGCTTCCTTGTCAAATCCACTTACTTACACAGCGGGCTCCTTGAGCTGGAAAACTCTCGCAAGTTCTCGGGCCTTCTCGGGCTGGTTTAGAGAGAGTAGCATCTTCCGGACGGCCTGAGCGAGGGCCGCCACATCGCGCTTCTTCAGCTTCTCCAGCGTCCGTCCCAGGCTAATTACGTGCTGGATAAACGCACCAAGCTCAGGACTGCGTAAAGAAAAAGAAGATAGATAGGCATAAAGTTAGCTACACGGAAAAAGTGGAAGAAGAAAAGGTAATAGTATACATACCACATGTCTTTAACGCCACTGCTGATCCACGTACCGTGTAGAGCCACAAGCACCGTCTCGGTTCTCGCGACAGCGTCTTCAGGCGCAAGCACGCGGAGGTGTGGAAGAATTCTTCCGTTCAAGAGCTCCTCTAGTCCCAGCTGGTTCAGCTTAGACAGGGACAAAACATTCTTCCAAAGTCCGATGTTCCGTAGCAGTTTGATAGAAAGCCTGAACCGATACTCCGCAATCTCGGCAGCCTGTTCCACGGCCGTTGTAAGTTGAGCACTCCAAGTAGGAACCTGAATGTTTTTCGAGGTCACGGTTAGATCGTCCACAGTACGAAAACCAATTATTACCTCCACTTCGGAGACAGCTGCTGCAATCCTGCTTCGGACTAGTGCGACCAAATCAATGAAAGCGTCGCTGGTTGCTGGCACGTACACCGAAATCTCCTGGACGGCAGCAACGGCGTTTCTTGTTTGAGTCGTACTCAATCGGTCCCAGCAGTGTCCAATGTAATGATGCAATAACGGGAGCGCCACCCTCTCTACCAAACTTGGCACCAAGTCGGAGTCATCGTACTCGCAAAGGAGAGAATGCCTGGAACCAAAGAAAATCGTTTCAGCGAGCAGAACACCACACAAGAATTACCTTACCATTTCATACTCTCAAATCCTGCACTGTCACGAAGAGGATCCCATTTGAGAAGCTCCAGTCGGACAAACGGTGCAAATATGGCAGGAGCACTGAGCGAGACATAAGCATCCGTGTAGGCCGCTGGATACTCTCGATGCCACTCTGTCAGCCTGTTCTTTACCATCTCGAGTTGGGAGTATTCTTCAGACGCGTCGCTGAAAATTCTCTCCGCAGTCTCCAAAGTTTCATCCCGACCAGAACCGAAAGCCATTTCGTTGTCGCTCTCGTCACTGGAACACTCCTCTGAGGAGGTCTTGGCAAGAACCCGAGATATCCGGCGCTTCCTTGCACTGGCTCTCGACTTCATTTCCATGCGCTTTTGGAGGCTCGTGTCCCTTCCAAACTCGTCCAGTTCCGGAGCAATGCCATTTAAAGCTGCAGCCGCAGCGGCCTGCGTAGCAGAGGAGGCATGAGCCGACGCTGTCTGTATGCTGCCACCTCGGGTCAAGACAGCCATAGCCGCTTCAATAGCCGAGTCAAGTTGCACTTTCTCATCAGCACCATCCAGTATCCGTCGTTGAAATACTGCATCCGCACGTTCCTCATGAAGCTTTTGCATGTGCTCCTCAAGTTCTTCAATCAACGGACTCTTGGCCTGAGAAGCAGCGTAAATACATGCACGACAAAAGAAAAACAGTACATACCTGTAAAAACGCGCATAGTGTTGACACAAAGTCTCTCAGTTGTTGCATGTAGATGTACTTCTTCCCAGCCGACGAGAACTTTTCTTCTAGCATCGTGATACTAGCAGCAGAAGAAGTTAAGTTCTGTTCCACCGAGTAAAGATCGGACTGCGTCTTTGCGTGAGATTCCTGTAGCCGCTTTAAGCCTTGCTGCAAGGCGAGCATGGCTGACTCTGCCTGCTGATCCAATGTAAACGTCGGATGCGCTACAAGCGGCCTGCTTGGAACCTGACCATAAGCACCACCGGGCAAGAGTGGAACACCTCTGCTGGAAGGATCCTCAACTCTCTTTCCAACCCCTTTCTTCAGCTGCTCTTCCTCCCACATCTTCTCCTCGTCTTCTTCTTCCACGTTCTCGACGAAATCAAACACGCCAGCTTTCTTTCCATTGTCCTTGTGGCCAATAAAAGTGAGCCTCCCTCGAACTTCCTCGGCCTCGTCGTCGCTAGAAACAGCCTCGTCTTTCTTCAACACCACCTCCGGAGCGTCACGAATCCTCGACCGAAAGTCGGCATCGCTGGACGATCCAACAGGGATATAATCCGGAGCACTGTGAGCAATCCTCTTCCGTTCCCGCTGTGCCTTGGCCGCGGCGATGGCAGCAGCGTCAGGAATCAGCCCGTCAACACCACCGAAAGCAGCTTCCATCACGGCATCCACACCATCCTCTGGCGGAACTACCGGCAACTCGTTGCTGCTGTTCACAAGCACGCTACTCTCACCACCTTCGTGAAGAACAGGCTTCAAAACTCCCTTAAGGATCACGAGAGGCTCGGCCGGAGGAGGCTTCGATTCCACTGGCAAAACCGGCTTGGCACCACCCAGCCGGATCGTGTTCTTCTGGAGCTCCTGGAGCCTCTCGGGAGTGTACTCCCCAGCTTGAGGTAAAACATTGGACACGGCTTGAGCTTTATCCTTGCCCGCCCCCATTGCGTGCCCCGAGCCATGGCTAGGCCCATACCCTGATCTCTTGCGGCCCCGAGATGAATTTCCATCCTCCCCATCGAAGCTCAGCAATGTAGAGGAGGAAGCGGGCTTCCTGGGAGGCTTACCTCTCACAGCATTCCTCTTCCCTGCCGTGGCCGCGATGCCGGGCGATGGATCATCGGCCTCCTCCGCCGCCTCCTCCGCAAAGCTCAGCAGCTGCTTCCTCCCAGGCTTGGACGCCGGAATCTTCTCCTTGAGGAGCTTCTGGTCGACCGGATCATCGTCGCCTGCTTCGCCATCGCCACGCTTCCGGAAATTCTTATTCTTGCTCATCCTCCCTAAACCCTAACCCTATTTGAGTATATCAAAGCATATTCCTAATATCAAAGCTGGGAATCAGTCAAGCATATTCTAATATCAAAGGTTTAGCATATCGAATTTATTCTTTATCAAATGTCTGCCAAAAATCTGTCAAAACTTTGCCTCGAATGGTTCCTACACGGACGCCGCGGCTGGTTGCTTGTTAACGAAATTAATTCCCTTCTCGATGCTGCCCTTGAGCTCTGGAACCAAAGCCTGGAGAGCTTTCTCCTCGTACTCTGTCAAGCCCCGGATGTCCGTGTGGACGAATGCCTCCACTCCATCCTTGCCCAGCTTCACTCGCGACGCGAAGAAGGGGAGCTCTTGCATCACCTGGACAGATCCAAGGAACAAGAGGTAAGAGGTTTTAACACCGGAGTCCCCAAAAGTTTCAAATGCTTACATCCGACTTGACGTAAGTGCACTCGTAGACATCAGCGTCGCCGTCTATTGCACGAAGGCAAGACTCCGCAAAACGAGCAGCAGCATAAGCCTAGAACAAAAGAGAGTAAAGCGCTGAAAAAGAAAAACAAGTACCATCGACAAAGTCGCAGAGCCTGCTCCAGCCTTTGCCTGTTCGAAATGAAAAACGCGAAAATACTCGTCAACTCTCCAAGTGCGGGAAGAAATTCTCAGTTACCTCAACTACTTCTGTGCCAGCGTTTTGAATCCTCACTGTCAGCTTCTCGATCTCCTCTTGCGTGAACTCGGTTTTGGGGCGTGTCTTGGACAGCAGCGGAAGAATGGTGATCCCGGCGTGTCCACCTACGACCGGAACATCCACATCAATGAGCCTCAGAGTCTTCTGCTGGGCTACAAAAGTGTTTGCCCGCACAACGTCGAGAGTCGTCACACCAAAGAGCTTCTTTGGATCGAACACTCCCTTCTTTTTAAGAACCTCAGCAGCTATGGGCACGGTCGAGTTCACGGGATTGCTGATAATGTTGATCCAAGCCTGCCACAAGGTATTCAGTACATTTCATCCTTTTCTAGAGAAAAAAGACGAACCTTGGGTGCGTAATCTGCTGCTGCCTCGACAAGTGTCTTCACAATACCAGCGTTGATATTGAAAAGATCATCTCTCGTCATTCCTGGCTTTCGAGGAACTCCAGCAGGAATGATGATAAGATCTACACCCTTGAGTGACTCCGCGAGCTCCTCAGCTCCAGTGTAAGGCGTCACCTAGGAAAAAAGTTAGTTTTTTTTCGAAGAGAACGCGCAGAAACCTCGTACCAGTGATGGTGTGTTACAGTGACTCAAATCTGCAGCCACGCCCTTGACGTTGGCAATATCGTAGAGGTTTAGATGCGAGAGCAGCGGCGACATCTTAAGCAGTAGAGAGAGCGGCTGCCCGATTCCTCCACCAGCTCCCAGCACGGCCGCCTTGTACGTCGCGGCAGCTCTGGGACGAACATCGGCGTTCCTGGCAGCGACAGTCACAAGGGGCTTGTGATTCCTCAGCGAAATATCGTGCATGTCGCCGCGGAAGAATGCGGCCTGCCGGCATTCTCCACTGGATTTCATGCCGATGAAGCTCTGGAATGCGGGCCTGGCAGGAGACACACAGACAACACACAGATCCATCGATTTCGCGAGACCAAGAGCCGAATTACCTGCTGGAAATGGAA